GGTGTGTTCCGATAGTCACAGAGACGCGTTTCCGGTTACTGCGCCCCCCCCCCCCCCCCCCCCCACCCCTCCTCTTCCTTCCCACCCCCCCCCTTCCTCCCCCTCCCCTGAACGCAAGGATCAGCTGCTAAATATCTTTGCTTCGTGCTGCTGATTTATAAGTGACCAGGAGGCCTAGGGCCAGATTCACGAAGCAGTTACGCAAGTACTTACTAACGTGTTCATCTTTTCTCAATCTTTGGTTACACGTAGCCAAAGGTTACACTACAAATTCCCATCACACAGGATGGTTTGTCATACAGAGACATGTGATGAGTTGTCTGTACTGGCAGACTCTGGGTGCAACACAAGAGTGAATAAAGTAATTGCAAAGCTCCAAGTACCTCATGCCAACGGGTCTGAATGGTCTGATAATTATGCATTGTGCAAAGTGTATGTCTTATGTGTGTGTTGTGTCCGTGCTAACTAAGTCTCCAGTGTGTTAATGTGCGCATGAGATCTCGCGCTGAACTCTAAGGAAATCACATCCCTGATTTCATTCCAGACTTCATGAAAATCGTACGTGTACAATTTTGGTACTTTGTGCCTCGGTAACACTTTCCACCACCCCCCACGGGATGGGTAGGGGGGGGGTGTATAAATGAAATGACAATGTCAGCATGAGAGTGATGGTATATGCCATTACCTAGTGACTATAGAGGGTGAGGGACAGCGTCAGATTTGTATTGTAGGGAGTCACCTTGAAAGTGGGCTAAACGAAATATACAATTATTTAAGACGACGAGTTCACTAATTAACAATATATTTAAATGTTTTCCTTATTGCTAAAACTTCTCACACGAGTGTTGAGGTGGTGGATGACCAGCCCACAAGAGCCCCAAGTCTCCAGGGCTTGCAGCTCGCAGTCCGACACACACACACATCACTTACATAAGACATCTGTATTGAAAAGGATTATGTTGTAGATCGTGCAGGAGTTAAGCGAGCGTGTGTAACCATAAGCCAGCACTGAAGGTCGACTGTGGCGGTGTGGAGAAGCATCATCTATCACTCGTATCTCTCCTCGCCCGTAACGCCCCTCGCCTTATACTTGGAATACTTAACTTTGTGTAAACAGTCAATGGTATTCTCCTTGTGTGTGTGTGTGTGTGTGTGTGTGTGTGTGTGTGTGTGTGTGTGTGTGTGTGTGTGTGTACTCACCTAGTTGTGCTTGCGGGGGTTGAGCTCTGCTCTTTCGGCCCGCCTCTCAACTGTCAATCAACCAACTGTTACTAACTGCTTTTTTTTCCCCACACACCCCAGGAAGCAGCCCGTAACAGCTGTCTAACTCTATTTACTGCTAGGTAACAAGGACATCAGGGACGTGTGTGTGTGTGTGTATATATATATATATATATATATATATATATATATATATATATATATATATATATATATATATATATATATATATATATATATATATATATATATATATATGTGTGTGTGTGTGTGTGTGTGTGTGTGTGTGCACGCAGCCTGAATTGTCCCCAGGACTATATGCGACTGAAAACTCTCACCCCAGAATATGTATATGTCCTGCAAGACCAGGACGACCTTGCAGGGCCCTTCTTGTCGTGAGCTCAGAGTATTTGTGGCTGTGTGTTGTTTAAGCCAGTGAATAAGTTCCTTTATGTATCTTATCGTATTTTCTCTTGAATGTGTGTATAGAGGTTACTCCAAGAATATCCCCTTACAGCTCACTGTTTATCATTCATATGGTGAATCTCTTCACCTCTGTGGCTTATTTAGACTATATGTTCATCTATGTTCTCTCAGTCCACCAGGCTATTATTTCTCATGGTAAACTTTCCTCTTTGTCCACTGGTCGATTACCCCTTATTAGGTGTGTTACGAAGGGGCCATAGACTTCCTTAAAATGTTCTAAGTAGTGATTTTATTCCGTCTAATTTGATAATACTGTAGTACCCCAGGAAGATTTGCATTAGATTCAATTGCTCTATTTAGTTGTGTGGGTGTGTGCGAACACAGGCTACCTCTCTCTGTTGTTCCTTGGAAGTTTTGCATCAAAGACCACTATATTTTCACCTGTGTTGCTATTCGTGTGACATAATCTGTAGTCATTTGCTTTTCAATTATTCATTTCCCCTAATGTTACCTTTGACTAGCAATATCACTTCTCCCTTCTTCCTCACTTGCTTTTTCGTTGGGTTTGTGTATTAAAAAAGTAATGCGTTCTAAAATTATTGATGAGCAGCCTTGAAGTGGTTTGTTGGATAGTAAGGTTCCGGTGCGGTGTGGGGGAAGATGAGCGGAGGGCGTGAGGTTGTGGCCGTCCGGGTAGACAGGATGTGGTTCCTTCATGTTACGTCGCTGCCGATTTAATTTGACCTCAAAAACTTTCGGTTCATTCAGTACGGAGACCACGCAGATGTTGGGCTATCCGGTGCAGATTATTGTAACCGGTAACTAGTTAGTGGTTTCTATTTGGAACTGGGAATACCAGTCCAGTTAAAATCCCGCAAGTATTTTAGCTCTCGGTTCGTTATTGTAAATGAAAACATTGCGTACTCACCAGTGCATAAACTAGGAAAAGGAAATATATCAGTGGGCGCAAACATAAGTCCCACAGACATTTTTTGAAAGGTTTCAGACTTGAGTATCAGAGAAACGTTTGGGTGGTGAACCATGCCACAATATATACATACATACATACATACATACATACATACATACATACATACATACATACATACATACATACATACATACATACATACATACATACACACACAGCAAGATAACTTGAGATTTCAAAAACCTGATCCATGATGTTTTCTTTCATTCTTGTTGATTTTATTTGCGCGCGCCCCCAGGAGTACGAGGAGTTAGTAAGGTTGGTGATGCCACGCCGGTAGGGAGCCGGTCGGCCGAGCGGACAGCACGCTGGACTTGTGATCCTGTGGTCCTGGGTTCGATCCCAGGCGCTGGCGAGAAACAATGGGCAGAGTTTCTTTCACCCTATGCCCCTGTTACCTAGCAGTAAAATAGGTACCTGGGTATTAGTCAGCTGTCACGGGCTGCTTCCTGGGGGTGGAGGCCTGGTCGAGGACCGGGCCGCGGGGACACTAAAACGCCCCGAAATCATCTCAAGATAACCTCAAGATAACGCCTCCCACAGGCGTGCCAGCGAGGGAGTGAGGACGGGGCGATAGCCTCCTCCCACCCCAGAAAACCTGGCGATAATTTGTGGGTCATAACGGGCAGCTGAGCAACAGTTAGGACGCAGGTAGTCGATTCACCGTGAGCGCTTCTCTCAGTTTTCTCACCCCAACGCCTTCTTTCCCACGCTCCTCCCGTGTGTACACGCTCCTTCCGGAACCTGGACCTCCTTCCTTGTATGTATCATCTCATTATTGATGATGGACAGTTGGTGGTGGTGACCTAGGGTGAGGTACCTGCTTGATGGAGTTCTGGGAGTTGTTCTACTACCCAAGCCCGGCCCGAGGCCAGGCTTGACTTGTTAGAACTTGAACTTATCGCCTGCGCCGCGGTGTAACCCCCTGGGCCTTCGTGTCTGGAGATGGGTTATCTTGAGGTTATCTTAAGATGATTTCGGGGCTTTTTAGTGTCCCCGCGGCCCGGTCCTCGACCAGGCCTCCACCCCCAGGAAGCAGCCCGTGACAGCTGACTAACACCCAGGTACCTATTTTACTGCTAGGTAACAGGGGCATAGGGTGAAAGAAACTCTGCCCATTGTTTCTCGCCGGCGCCTGGGATCGAACCCAGGACCACAGGATCACAAGTCCAGCGTGCTGTCCGCTCGGCCGACCGGGTCTGCCCCGGGGATACCTGAGTGGGCAGCGCTCACAACACATCAAGGTTGTGTTGTGGCCGTTGTGTGTGGTGGTGTGGGCGGGTGCGGGGGGCAGCGTGGGGCGTCCTCTCCCAGGAATTATTGACATGCAAGAGACGCTGTTGCTGGAGTTGTGTGCACGTGTTGTGCAAGTCTGATTGGGCACACTTGGAGTTGACTTTCAATCGCTTTCTCACTTCTTCTTTAGTGTGTTCAAGTGTTTGTTCTTTGGCGTTGTCAACCCTTCCTCCTGTTTAGATAGTACTTATTGTGACTGTCCTCAATAGTCACGAATTCGTACGTACTTAGCTTTTATTTAGTAGTATACTGACTAGTAAGGAATTCTTTTAAAATAAATGAAGCTAAAAACTAACTTAAATATCCCTAGGTCTAGTATAGTGCACATATGTACTATATTAGGCCTCAGATAGCGTGTATTAGGCCTAGGAAGGTTAGGTTAGTGAAGTTTGTCAAAGTAACACAAGTAAAAAATTGTTCTCCGGTTTGTCCAACCCAGTAAAGCTTGTATGGGGAACTAGATCTCACTACACGTGTTGTAGTTGTATGTGACACAGGCTGGGGGCACACACTACACGTGTTGTAGTTGTGTGTGACACAGGCTGGGGGCACACACTACACGTGTTGTAGTTGTGTGTGACACAGGCTGGGGGCACACACTACACGTGTTGTAGTTGTATGTGACACAGGGGGGCACACACTACACGTGTTGTAGTTGTGTGTGACACAGGCTGGGGGCACACACTACACGTGTTGTAGTTGTGTGTGACACAGGCTGGGGGCACACACTACACGTGTTGTAGTTGTGTGTGACACAGGCTGGGGGCACACACTATTAACACATTTGAGACGGTATTTGTTTGGTAAGAATATTTCATATTGTTTATAACGAGTATTGTTTTTAAGAACATAAAAATGTTCTTTAAGAATGTTGTTTGTATCCTTGGGTTGGCTGCAATCGAAAAATAGTTTAGTGGTAATTATTTTGTGGTTTGAGTTGTTGTGTTGTACCTTATAGTCATGTTATTTAATGGGTGAGGTTTATTGGTGGTGTTGGGGTGAGTGGTGTTGAGTGTGGCGGTAGAGGGAGAGGTAAGGGACTAAAGTGGTAACATTGTTGTTGCAGGTGTTGAGCGAGGGCCGGAGTGTGGGAGCCGGGGCCTGGGGAGCCGATATGTCCTACTGAGGCCCACCCAACACTTCACCAGGTGAGTCCCTACACCCGCCTCACCACACAACACCTCGCGGATCCCACACATCCCCCTGTGCCAGGTGAGTACGACGGGCTCACCATAGCCCGTGCTACTGGCAACTTTTTAGTTGGCGAGTCTAAAACGACAGCCACCTGGCGGAGGTGGCAACCCCTGGAGCAGCAGACCACAACCCCTGTAGATGAGCCTACAAGCCAAGGATTCCTAATCCTGTAGACACGTTCTATGTTAAATTTCTATATTATTTTTTGCTATGCTGCTGATTTAGAGTTTGGATTGTTGTATATTAAAATACACGGTGATGCAAGGTGAAACATTTTGCTAAAAGTTTACATTTAGTAAGAATTACATCAGCACAAGTGCAAACTTTCCGGGTACACAGTTCCTCTGATTCTGCCTGATGAGCCATAATGTTTTTAAACACCAGAGTTGACATTTAATTTAAACAGTATTTTCATGTGAGGTGTGCATGCGCGCGCGCTCTGCTCACTCACACTTGTTACCTCACTATTTGTTGTGTATACTCAAGCTTGTCAATAAAAAAATAAAATTACTGAATAAGGGTGTTAAATATTCCACATTATATTTAACCCTTTCGAATATTTTTATTTTGGGTGTTGACAAAGGTACCTTTGACACAAGGTCCACACCTTTATACCTTTGACACAAGGTGCCACCCTTTGACACAAGGTCTTTGAAGGTTATTTACACCTTTTTTTGCCACACCTTTGACACAAGGTGCCACACCTTTGACACACCATCAATTAACCTGGGTTAATTGATGAAGATTAAGCCACCCAAGAGGTGGCACGGGCATGAATACACCGTTATTACCTGGGTAAAGAGACGCGGGTGATGATGAGGATAAGGATTACGGGCGCGTGGCGTGGGCGTCTTACCACCAAGTATTAGTGTTGTGTGAGGGCGTGGCTGGGAGGCGGGCGCTCACGCCCACCTCTGGGTCCTCTGTTATACTGGTTACCCATAGTAGTGTGGCGGCGCCCGTGTATGTACCGCGCTTGCAACACTATTGTCATAGCCATCGTCATCATAAACACACTAGAGATAAATGATTGGTAAGAGCACACAGAGTGAGCGAGCTGCGTGGCGTAAGATCATGAGGGGAGACAGGCCGCGCTGATAAATCATATATGAATAGTTGAGAATAATGTGTGGCGTGGTGCAGGTGCACTGCTGGAGGTACGCGCTCCCCCACACACTAATGGTGAGAGCGTAGCTGGTGACCCCGAGGGAGACCACCTTCACTCGCTAAGCTGGCCCGCTCTCCGTCTCCGATGTGTTCCTGTACAGTAGTCAACTGGGCAAGCTTGCTAATGTTGTCACTTGCAACAAGGCTGCTTCACTACTCCCACCAGTTACACCTACTCTATTAGGCCCGTCCTAGCATACAAAGATCCAAGCTCGTTAATCCAGCCGCCAAACCCCTTGTTCATGCAGCTCGTCCTCCAAACAAAGACCCAAAAGTGGTTCCATGCACCCGCCAAACCCCCTGTTTTGAATGAAAAACGGTTTACACACGACTCACAACTGATTTCGTTCGAACACTTCCGGAACAGGTGCTTCACTGACGAGTTTTGTTCCAACCACAACGCTGTAAATGTTTCACCCACGTACTACAAAGACAAATAATAACCATCAGAACCTAAACACCTAATCTAACCTATGCCTATATAGGCACAATATGCTAATGTATTATAATATTACTTTATATATGAGAACATTCTTGTTTTTATTGTACAACATGGAAAAATTTATGAATGCGTGTGTGGGGTCGACCGCTGGATGTAATGGACTTGTCGAGAACGGGTTGAATAATCCCCAACAGAAGCTGAACACCAAACCTAACCTACGCCTAACTGTACTTAGAATTTTGATATACAGTATAATAATAATTATTTATATGAGAACAAACCAATTTTTAATACACAGTATGTTAAAATTGATGAATCCGTTAGGGGAGGACGGCCGCTGCTGTAACCAGCCTAGTGTGAGGACCTGTTGCTCTATAAGCCGGTACCCCCCCCCCCCCACCTGATATATAATCTGAAAATATATGCTGTTTGTATTTTACTTAAAAACGTGGAGTACATGGAAAGTTTTTAATAATAAACTTATATACATAGTCCTACATATTTAAAAATTATACGAATACATAAAAATTGCCCGGGTACTAAGTGGCCCATGGTTTTTTTTAAAGGTATTTGGATATACAGTCTAATTATCTAGTTATACGTGCCGGCGCAGGTGTACAAGTACACCTGCGCTTCCTTTGGAACACCACCTGTGGCCGTAGGGGGGGGGGGGGAGATGGGGGGCTGGTAGAAATAGCCTAAGCTACTCTATCTCTTTGAGATGTATTTTATTGTATCAGTAAACTGGAGGGCCAGGTCCCAGATCTATACAGTAAAATAACAACATACTGGAGTGAACGATATGGAAAAATATGCACAATAGAACCAGTGAAGAGCAGAGGTGCCATAGGCACAATCAGAGAACACTGTATAAACATCAGAGGTCCGCGGTTGTTCAACGTCCTCCTAGCGTGCATAAGAAATATTGCCGGAACAACTATAGACATCTTCAAGAAAAAACTAGATTGTTTTCTTGAAGAAGTGCTGGACCAACCGGGTTATGGTGGGTATGTGGGCCTGCAGGTCGCTCCAAGCAACAGCCTGGTGGACCAAACTCTCACAAGTCAAGCCTGGTCTGGGACCCTCGGGCTGGGCTTGGGGAGTAGAACTTCTCCCAGAACCCCATCAACCAGGTAACGTACTTGAACCTGGTGGGAACCGTGTGCTCTAACGGCCTTGCGAAGAGTAGTGATTTAGCAAGCCGTCTCTTCTGGCCAAAGAATAGAAGAGTAATAGTATTCTGTCCGCTAGAGCTGCCCCTGTAGGTCCAACTTAATATCTCTAGTTTAACGCATGCCTTTAAGTACTTGGGAGGATGTGTCAGCCTGACCCAAACATTAGATCAGTATCGTGTATGACGTTAATGGCACCAGATAATTGATTAATGACGGCATGGACTCTTGTCGTCTTGGATGGGTTAGTCATTATCTACAGCTGAAACATTACATAGATCACTTGGACAAATGTTTCTTAGTAAGCCTGGCCACGGGTCGGGCTTGGGGAGAAGAACTCCCAGAACCACATCTGTACCTCAAAGTAACCTCAAGGTACAAGCCAAATTTAGGCTGAACAAACAAAATTGAAAGCAAACGGTATTAAAGAAACTACCAAGCCGAATACTTTAGGAAGTCACAATAAAATTGAATCAATTTTCACTACTGGGGTAAGCGGCTTTGTTGAAGTTGGCAGGTGCGTCAGTCCTCGGTATTTCCCGCCCAAAGCCAGACGGCGACGGTGACGCAGTGTACCTGACCACGCTCGCCCTCCTCTCCCTGTGTTGTGTATACGGTACCTTGTACACTCCTTCCAGTAGTCATCCATGTTAGTCCATGATGAACTCTTAGTTGGAGGTCACTACACGATGGTGAACCCGCAGCGTAGTACAGTATAGTGTAGTACTGGCGTTCCGCGAACGCTTTGTCACGGGTTCGTATCCTGGCCGGGGAGGATTTACTGGGCGCAAATCCTTAACTGTAGCCTGTTTAACTCAACAGTAAAATGTGTACTTGGTTGTAAAAACTATTCTTCGCGGCGGGGATCATATTCCAGGAACCTGCCCGAAACGCTACGCGGCTGTACAAGAATGTAACAACTCTTGTATATATCTCTAAACAAAACAAAAACAAAATAATGTGTTGAGGGGAAACACAGGGCTCTTCCCACGCCCTGTGGGAAGAGCCCTGTGAAAGAAAGAAAACTGTACAACGAGAGACTCACTAGAGAAATAGGAACATCGAGTTAAAATTTAAAGTACTTTGAACAGTAACTAGTAATGACACACTGAAGATTGACAACCAAATCAGTTGATGGCCGTGCTACCAGATGTCATAACTCATATATCAGACCCCACTAACCCCACTGGACGCTGGGGAAGCCATAGACAGCGTAACTATGCGCTCCGTCCCAAGTCCCACACTCCTCCAATTCTATATTTATAAAAAATCGCAAGAACCGATTAATAAATTATCTAAATTTCTAGTGAAGCTTAAGAACATTTTCTAAATTTTCTCATAGAACATGTGAGTACCATCTTCTTGAGGTTATCTTGAGGTGATTTCGGGGCTTAGCGACCTCGTGGCCCGGTCCTCGATCAGGCCTCCTCGTTGCTGGACTGGTCAACCAGAATGTTGGACGCGGCTGCTCGCAGCCTGACGTATGAGTCACAGCCTGGTCCTAACCTATCAGACTAAGCCAGAGGACCCAAAACAGAAAACGGGACAGTACGTCACTTTCGTGAGCCGCTTCCATTTTCTAGTACGACAATTTTTGGCCGTATGTAACGCATACGAGCGAAAAGCGACGTTCTTTGTAGGAGGGCAGTTAGTACTGTCAGCGCCCCCTCTCCCCCCCCTACAACTGTCAGCTCCCCCCAACCCTTCCGCTGCCGCCTCTGCCGCCGCCTCTGCTGCCGCCTCTGCCGCCGCCTCTGCCGCTGCTTGCTCATGAAACTGGATGGTTCAACTAAACTATTTTATATACACTTTGTATTTACATAAACTTCACTCAACATGTATGTTCTTGAATGAATATTTATGCATGTTGTATCTCTCATCTTGTCTCTTAAAAGTATTATAAATTTATCAATTTATTAATTATAGTACAGAATAGTTATTTTGTATTACATTTTTGTTAAAAACCTTTTAGAAAATGATGCATGTTATTCTGAGAGAAGAGCATAGTAAATAGACAAAGGATAGGAACAATGTGAAATTTTCATTTGACTTCCAAAACGGGAGTTGGCGGGTGAAAAATGTGAGTGTTGGAGTCAATTATTCAGGGAGCTCTTAACGGCTTAACTGGCACCGGACCTTTCCTGCCCTCCAACACTGCCTTGACCCTCGTCCA